CACATGCTTAGCTGCAATATTATAAGTCCGAACCAACATGGATTCCTGAAATCCAGATCATGTTTAACATGTCACCTAGACTTCTTCAATTTTGTAACCAGCAGTCGTGACAGACGGCAACTAGTACTTGTCATCTACTTTGACATTTCTAAGGCATTTGACCGTGTTGACCATTTACTGCTGATACATAAGCTGAACCCCTTAGGAATACGTGACCCATTATTAGGATGGCTTAAATCATTCCTTAACAATAGGTCCCAAATAGTTAAACTGGAGTCTGCAACCTTCAAACCTAGCCCTATCACTTCTGGTGTAGTACAAGGTAGTGTCATTTGACCCCTCCTATTTACACTATACATCAATGACATATGCGCTTGCTTCACGCACGGGAAACCATTCATCTTTGCAGATGACCTAAAAGTAGCTTATACATTCCAATGTGATGACTTAGGGAACTTCGAGAATGTAGTGCAGAAGGAATTAGATAAAACGACTGCTTGGTCGTCCTTATGGAATCTCCAATTTAATCTGAACAAATGTGGCTGGATCTGCATCGGTGCACCCTCAATTGACCTAAAATTAACGTTTCGATCTGCTAACATAAGCAGACTCCGAAGTGTCGATGACCTAGACCTGAGGTACTCTAGTGACTTGACATTCTCTGAGCAAGTAGCATCACAGACTAGAAAATCGAGGATGCTCTTAGGATGCATACTCAGGAACTTTCACGACAATGAAGCCAAGCTAATTCTGTACAAAACATGTGTCAGATTACTACTAGAATACTGTCGATTTATTATAAGCAGCACTCGCACACGTGATAAGCTAAGGATGGAAAGTATCCAACGATATTTTACCTCAAAACTACTTGGCTACGATTGTAAGAAAGACTACATCTCACGGTGCATGATCCTAAAACTCGACCCACTTTGGTCAAGGCAACCTAATATTCTTCTTCAAGGTTCTTCACAAAATATCATTCTCAGACAACAGGGACATACAATTCGCACAGGAAGGTTCTTACGTTCTGCGTAACCAAACTTGCACAGTGACAACTCATTCTTTTAAGTCAACACTCCGTGAAAACTTCTTCACACTCATGTATTCTAAAATATGGAATAGCCTACCCCTAGATGTCAGAACTTGCTCTTCGGTTACAAGCTTCAAACGCTCTCTATACAGACTGTTTCACTCTGCTGATTATATCATTAAACTATTTACTCTTAGAACGAATAAATCACTAATCTACTACAGCACCTGAAAGACGCACTTCAACACCCTTAGCAATCTAAAAACTATAAATAAACTAGTAGCATGGATGCATAAAGACTTAGTGCGGAACATACAAGAATAGTTTACTCTTAGAAATAGGACCTGTCACTCTATTGTAACCTTCAGACGCTTGCTATATAAACTTTTATCCCAATGAGTATCCCTACCCGAACCCATCACTTATTTCTAAAACGCATCAGTCATTAGAACACTAAGACGCTCAGACTCATTAATGCACATTATGACACTAAACAAACTCTAAGACTTCGCACAGATACGTGAAAACACAACTACAATATAGGTAAATGTTTACTAAAGTATAATATACAATCGACATAAACATTTATATATGCATATAACATTAATGTCCTTTTCATTTTCACATACTTTCTCTTTCTGATATTCCGCTGGTGTGCATAAACTCCTAATTATCTTCTGGTCAAGGTCGAACAACCCTGCATCTAAACTGAAATGAAGGTTAATCCCAAACCATTTATCTCATAACCACTCAAATTCCATGAACGATCCAACTCTACCATTTGAAGACGCTGGCGAACATGCTGTAAATGAGTATTCATGATCTGAAATGAAGAAGCAACTGGTTCTCAAATAGTTTTTCAACATTTTACCCAACTTACGAGTGCAGTCCGCCATGCAGACACAAATGGCGCAAATGGAGAATTCTGGAATCGACCTCGGCACCATTTGATGCAGTAAAACAACTTAACATGACCTTATCTAGTTTTCGCATCCACGATATATATTTTTTATATTTATTTCGTTAATAAATCTAGTCCTCGTTCCTCTTTTGTATATAAGCCTCCGCGAAAGTTGTGATGTACAGGGTATATAATAATAATAGTATATTCTCATTTTGTACATGAGGGACGCCAGTTTACAGGCATCATCAATATGATAAATTACATACACGATTAGCAATCATATTTAATAATAATGTTTCGATAAAATAAAATACTTTTTTTCCTACCTGTGTAGGACACATCAAATGTACGGGCATGGATAAGCATTATTTAAATTCCACAAATTCGGTTTATGTTTAAATTGCATGGTTGCTGACGTTTTTGTCTTTGGTTTGTGGAAACAATATGATAACCAGTCATTCAATGGAGCACATCATGAAATATAGAAATATTGTCTTCGCATTAACAAAAAATCCCAAGTATGGTTTGGATGGATTAAAAATACTTGGGAAAAAATAAAGCTTGAAGTAATTCCACAATATAACTTAGGTGTGTACAAGTCCGAATCTCATTTTTGATTTATATCCAAATTGGGTAATAAGGAAGCTATTTTTACAGATACGATCAGTTATGTTATTAGTTACAATCGTGACGTTTTATTACAAATTGATACTTTTCCATTGGTATAAGAGTATATTCCACAAATGTAATCCAGGTTGCGTCGTGGGGAAAGTTAATTCGTTATTAACTAGGCAACTGATAGATACGGGACCAATAATGTTTGCAGATCATTTTTCATTGTAAATGGTCAAACATTCACATTATTCATTCTCATTCAAAAAGTCCAATGGAAGCTAAAATGGTGAGAGTAAAATGAAGACAAACAACAGCAAAGCAAAAGAAAGCAAGAGGAGTCCTTAAGGAGTGATTAATAAATATATACATATATATTCTGTTTAGTAACTATGTTTATTTTTGTGCACTAACTAACTAGTCCCGTTATGCTCACTTTTATATTATGTGTGAACTAATATTACTGTCCTGTGTAGAAATGTTTATCATCTGGTTCAAATAATATTAAAATTTATAATTGTTGTTGGTTGTAACTACACGTTTAAAGAACTTAAAATATCTACGTAGGGTGAAAAAGAGTGTGTAAGAGTCAGATGTAGAAGTGCATTATCACCTTTGAGCAGTCTGATGACTGAGGAGATGAATACTGGAAGCGTGTTTGCATCGCACACATCAGCTGGTAGTCTTTACCAAATGACTGAAAACTTATTTAAAAGGAAGTCGTACCGCAGTTAAGTCTGACAGTGATCTATAGCAGCTAGGTTGTGATGATTTCTAAGAGTTCAACTGATGAAAGTGGTAGGTTTAATTATTGGTTCGAAGGAATGCAAGAGGAAATAACTTCAATTATAGTAAAGGATACAGTTTAGCTTAAGACGTATTTACCAGAATGCTTCTTTAAATAGAATGTCGCAAAGCCAGAACGAAGTTTCCTATAAACCCACTATGAACACTGCAAACTGTTGATAAGGAACTGCATCAAAGGAAAAAATTTCCGAATAGCTAGAAAATATTGTTGCAGTTTCAATGATTAATACCTTTAACGTTTGCAAATCATCTTTCCAAAGTTCAAAATGACGCCGAAACATCGATGCTACCCCATAGGCCCTACAGAAATTCGTGAGAGATCTTACATGTCATGTCGTCTTACAAATTCTAAGCTTGCAGAATTTTCAATTCACCTGTCACTGAATTAACCTTTATCTGCTTCACGATGGTCTTTTAATTAACGCACTATTAGACTCCATTTTATCTTAACTGCATGGGCCTTTATTAAAGCTGAAACTTACTCCTTGTGACTATTAGTTGTTGCTTACAGTCTGGTTGCTTTGATTAGAAACACAACAGCACCAGTGTTTGGACATAAGGAGTGGTTGGTCTCCGAAATAAACCATATGATGAAAGGCTGAAGAAATTAGGCCTATTCACACTTTGCTACCGACGTCTTAGGGGGGATTGAATCACTACCTACAAAATAACAGATGACCAGAATCCCCCAAACAAAGGTGTTCTGCCATTGAGTATGTATCGGCTCCCTCATGGAAATCCCAGAAGGACAGCTCACCAGGGGGCAAGGACCCGGGTGCCCTCCCACTTCTTTTCACTGTGGGTTTGCCGTCCTAGGAATTCCCTACCGGCAGACGTAGCTACGGCACCGTCTATGGGCGCCTTTAAGACAAGGCTGGACAACCTTGCGGCAACGCAAGGACTGCATCCAAATGGCTGATTCGCTAAAATCGCATACACCATTCAGAGGTAGACAATTAAACTCGTCGTTTTACTTCTTTACATTCTCTCCCATCTTACTTTCCTGACAACTTTAATTACACCTATTATTATTATTATCATTATTACCGATATATATATATATGTATATACATATATTATTCATATTATTCTTAAAATTTAATCAGCTGGCTTTTGTTACGTTTTCTTGTTTCTTTTTCTGTTTGTTAGTCTGAATAACTTCACTAATTATATCTATTATTATCTCTTTCCTTTTGACGACGATACCGGGGGACTAACTGGTGAAAGAATCAACTCCATTTACAGTAGTAACAGTCTTAACACACCTCATACTACAAACCACATATAATTAATCCCAGCACCACTCCTTTTGGAGTCAACCAAAGCTACGACAGTCGAGTGGCGGAACGAGCTACGCAGAAGTTTACCAAAGATCGGGAACCTATACCTCACCATTAAGAGGCGAGCACAAAGAAATCAAATTAGTTTATACTAGCTCGTAAAAACGATGTTGGATATTGGATGCTGAGGGAAAAGTAGGTCTTCCGCTGATGGGAAGATCAGACAGGAGTAATATTAAACTGAAATGATCGGTAAACAAATAGCGAAACTGCCAGGCATCGTAGGTCAAAGCTTGCAAATTTACCCACTAGTAATCAGCATTTCAAGAAAATATTTGGCCTTTTGTTTAGTTACACTACACCGTAGGTATTTTGTAGGACGTAGTTTACCGTATATTCAGTGGATTATGTCTTATTATTCATTGTCGATATGTAGGTTTATTTTCTATGAAAATTCTGTTTTTAAGGGTGAACATGCATTTATCAATGAGTAATGCCGAAATGTGTGTTTGTTTTTAACTGAAAAGTGCTAATACCTTCGGATTTCGTATTTTATTCAATTGTATTGGTCTCAGCTTAACATATCCAGCTGCACATTGTTATTTGATCGAGGATTTAGACTTTAGATGAATTCCGCATCCGAAACAAATTCTAAAACTCACAGTGGGTGTCATGTTTAGGATGTGCCTATTTGCAAGTGATTGAAATCACATTATTTTACAGTCTCTTTCTAGCGACAATACGGCTTTTCACCTGGTAGAATACATTTGTTAGGTTCAAGGTCATTTGACTCTGTTGTCTTTTCTTTGCTGTTGCCCTACAGTAAATGGGTATTCCACGTCCATATGCAAATTAAGGGTAAGTATTTTCTCGAGAGCATTCAGGTGAATTTATCAGTGAGTCACAATAAATTAAGTGCTCAGCTTTTAGATAGTCAGCGAAGCCAACGAATAAAAAAGTATAAAGCTGGCTATCGATTCTAATATCAGACGTTTCAAGCGCTATCAGGAATTGTAATCCATCTCTAATATTTGGCTTGATTCTGCGTTAACTTTTCCTTCATCCCCTAACTTTGTTTCTGCAAGCTACTACCCATTTTTTCCTCCATTTATCTTTTTCATTTACGGAAATATTATTGTTCTACTTCAGTTTATTTATTATTCTCATAAGATTATGTGCTTTGCCGCACTAATTATTGAGTGTCTACATCGTAATGTAAGTCCCATGGTGCTACTTAAGAAATATGAAGATGTATCTGATTCAGATTTAGATTCAGTTTATGAGAATAGAAGTGTATTGTTGCTTATGTTAATCCTTGGGATATATAACTCTACAGAGATCTGAATTCTATAAGAAAGCGTTCACTAATGTATCTGTTACTACTGAATCAGGTAAGGAGTTCCAGTCGTTGACCATTTTGTGAGAGGACTTAAATTTCACACATACTTTATTCGACCTCGGTTCGAGCACCCTCTCATGTTGACCTCGTAAATGTATCCTAGAGGGAAAAAATATTTGAAAGCTTAATCTCTAAATCAACCTTTAATTTACGGTATATCAAAATTAAGTCGCATTTCCTCCTCTGTTATGATAATGGGAAGAGATTTGAGTGCTCCATCCTCTTATCAGAGAGAGATACCACTAATTTGGTTCCTACTCTTTGTACTATTTACAGGATATGTGCCTCCTTTTTGAAGCATGGACTCACCGCTTGTATGCAGTATTCTAGATGAGGCCTGGTGTATGTTGCATAGAGTACTTGAAACATACCATCATCTAATTGTCTGAAAACTCTTCAAAGTGCCGATATAATTCGAAAAGCCTTGGCTGCTGCTGCATAACAATTTGCCGTTGTTTCTAAGTCATGGCTTGCAATAATTCTTAAATCCTTTTGTCCCTTAACAGGTGGCAGTTCGACATGTAAGTCCTCTGACCTAGGTGCATTACCGCGCTTTTCTTGGAATTAACTCCCAGACTCCAGGGGTTAGCCCATTCAGCTAATTTATCTAGATCGTTTTGTAGTACCAGACTATCATCGTTATTACTTACAGTTTTCCATATCTTAATATCGTCCGCAAACAAAAGGGAGGACTCGGTTAGAATTTTCGGCAGTTCATTTACGTATAATAGGAATAGCAGGGGGCCAAGTACAGTCCTCTGACTCATTCTACTCAGTACTGCCTTCCACCCCGACAGTACACCATTAACCCTTACCTTCTGCTTTCTGTCAGATAGTCGCTAAACCACTCACATAGGCGTTGGTATAATCCAAAGTGTTCGGGTTTACTAAGACCTAAATCAGATACCTTATCGAATGCTTTACTAAGATCGACAAAGACAACGTCCAATAAATGGTTCTTATCTCTGGCTCTGACCCAATCTTCTCTAGCTAACAGTAAGTTTGTCAGGCAAGATCGTCCTGGTCGCAATTCGTGTTGTCCCATCGCCAGTAAGCCATGTTTCTCCATATGAGCTAATAGCTGATCCCTTATGATTTACTATAATCCAGGTCAAATTTGCAGGCCGGTAGTTAGATACTAGCTGCCCGTCCCCTCTTTGGAGAGGGGGTTTATAAAAGCATCTTTCTAGTCCCTGTGTAGCCCAGCCTGGGTCAGGGCTGGCTGGATTCAACATAGAACTTGGCACCGAAGTGCAGCAGTTCGAGTTGCCACGTTCCAAATAGCACACAGAGGTAGACAAGAAGATGAGTGGAGAGAATTAATAGAGTTTGACAAATATAGGAGTGAAACAGAATGGGTAATGGTAGAAAGGAATATGAAAGATTACAGAGATTGAATACATCTGCGCCATTGACAACGATTTTGAGCCATGTCACCTATTGTCTCCAGCCATTGATTCCTAGAGTCCCGAGGGCCCCAACCCGGGAGTCTGCATCTCCCTACCTGACTCAGTTTAACTGTCAAGGATTTCATGGATTGATGCCATGTTTTTGTTTGGCCACCACTGGCTCTTTTCCAACCTGAACCTATATCAGCTAACAATGCCCGTCGGGGGAGGCGGTGGTTAGGCATGCGCACCACGTGACCTAGCCATCTTAGTCTATGTAACTTTATAACCTCGTCGATTGATTTTCCCTCTTTGCCCAACACTCTACGCCTAACGTCAACATTACTTACCTTGTGAAACCACCTAACGTGAGACAGAGATCGCAGACATCTATGATCGAAAGCAGTCAACCTTTTCATGTCTTCAACGCGTATTGGCCATGTTTCAGAGCCATAGAGAAGGACGGAGCGAACTGATGAGCAGTACACACGTCCCTTGGTTGATAACCGGATGTCACGCCTACGCCAGAGATGGTGTAAGTCAGCGAAAGCAGCTCGAGCTTTTCGGATCCGTGCTGAGATTTCATCGCCAATCAGTCCGTTGGTGCTAATACAACTTCCCAAGTAGGTGAAGTGGTCAACATGTTCTATCACTTCACTCCCTATCACTAAGTTAGGGGTTGACGTCGTCCAGTCCTGTAGCAGCATCTTACATTTTGCAGGGGCGAATCGCATGCCAAACATACGAAGATTGCTGCTCAAGGTGTTCAGAAGACTCTGCATTTTGTCAGCATCCTCCCCTAACAGGACTATGTCATCTGCATATTCTAAGTCCATTAGATTATTCCCTGGTAACAAGTCGATTCCTAAGTCACTACGTTCAGTTAAGGATACTTCCATTAGCATATCTATGATGAAGTTAAACAGAAATGGGGAAAGTGGACATCCCTGTCGGACACCACTGGTTGTTACTAATTCAGATGACAATTCCCCATAAGCCCTTACACGACTACGTGAGTTTGAATAGAGTGCCTTGATTAGTGCAATGTACTTTCTTGGCACTCCCTTCACAGTCAGACATTGCCATAGTACTTTTCGGTCCACGGAGTCGAAGGCCGCCTTCAAGTCAAGAAATATGACAATTGTTGGACGCCGAAAAGTGTGTCTATGTTCTAGAATCTGTCGAAGAGTGAAGATATGATCTATGCACCCTCTACCTGGTCTAAAGCCTGCTTGATTTTCCCTTGTCTGTTCCTCCCGAGTTCTGCTTAGTCTATGCATGATTACTGAGCCTAGGATTTTAGAGACTATGTTCGTTAGGCTGATCCCCCTATGATTATCACACGAGGACTTGTTTCCCTTCTTGAATATCGGTATAATGAGTGACTTACCCCAGTCTGATGGTACTGTCTCTGATTCCCAGACTTTGCCTAGTACCTCAGTTAATCTACAAACTAGTATGTCACCCCCATATTTAAACACCTCCGGAATAATTCCGTCGGGTCCTGCCGCTTTGCCTCGTTTCAAATTACTGATAGCTTTTGTAACCTCACCTACAGACGGCGGACCAGTGTCTATATCCCATTCGGGTACGTGGTGGATGGCGGGGAGGTTCAGTGTGGCTGTAGGCAAGTTAAATTGTTCCTCAAAGTGTTCTTTCCAGCGTTCAAGGCGTCTATCCTGAGAGCTAATTAAGGAGCCATTTTTCTCAGAAATAGTCTCACTTATGAATTGCCTTTTCCCGCCCGATTCTGTGATGAGTCTAAAGAGTTGCCTAGTGTTGCCTATCGCCAATGCTTTTTCCATCTCTTTCGCCTTTGTCACCCACCACTGTTCACGGTCTTTGCGGAGACTTTTAGTAAGTTTCCTTTTGTGCAGCTTTCGCTCCTCATTGAATTCGGAGCTCGCCGGAATAAGTCTTCTAGCATCTATCAGTTCGGATGAGGCAGTCGAAATCCAGTGGTTTTTACTCACCTTTGGATTTGTCTTATTCACAGCTTTTACAGCTGTATCTATAGCTGACTGAATATTCTTCCAGGCTTCTCCAGGGTGAGCACAGCTGTCGGATTCAGATATGCGTTTAGCTAGTTCTTCCTCAAATAGGGATTTAGTTTCCTGATCGAGCTGGGGGCGTAATGGTTTTACCGCCAGCTGTTTCCTACGTCCGTTCAGTCGTAAGCACACACGAGCCCGGACCAGTGCATGATCGGTATCTACACACGTGTTCCAGAAGGAGCGACAATCTCCTACCGACCCACGCCAACGATAGCTTATTGCTATGTGGTCTATTTGTGTCCAGCGTTGGTTTGATGATGGGGGTCGCCAGGTTAAACAGTGTCTCTCCTTGTGTTTAAAGTTAGTGCTTACAAGAAACAAATGATTATCTGAACAGAACTGTAGGAGACGGTCACCGTTGTCGGTTCGCTGGCACGGAACTCCATAGGTGCCACCGACATCCTTCTCAGATTGACACAATTTCCCTACTTGAGCGTTGAAGTCACCAGCTAGAACGACTATATCTGAGCGTTTAGCCTTTCTCACCAAACTAGACAGCTTTTGGTAGAACTCATCCTTCGTTTCATCCGAACTGCAGTCAGTGGGGGCGTAGGCGGAGATTACGAAAAGGCATCGGCGAGTAGTGCAGTC